GCTGTAGCTCAAGTGGTAGAGTGCTCGCCTTGAGCTGAAGAGCTGAGGGACAGCGCCCAGGCCCAGAGTTCAAGCCCCACGACCGGCAAAAAAAAAAAGCATATATTTATATCATACAATGTGAAGTGCATATTTTTACATGAGTTAATCAAGAAAATTAACATATCCATTATGTCATATACATAAGTTTTTGTGTGGTAGGAATATTGAAGATTTAATCTCTTAGCAATTTTCAACTACAATCATGCGTACCTGTAGAATGAGCTATACCCTGAAAATTGTGTCATTAAGTGATTACATAATTGTGCAAACAGCATAGAGTGTATGTGTACAAACTAAGATGGCTACAAAAATCACTAGATGATATACTAAGGGACTATTATTCTATACGCTATTCTTCACTGACCAAAATGGCATTTGTGGTGTGTGACTGCATATTACAACTTATTAACTGTTGTCACCCTGCTATATAATACATCTCCACAAATTACCCATCTTAAACTGACTGGTGTTCAACTTGTTTTTAAAATGTTTTTATTATATTTAAGTAGTTGTACAAAGGAGATACCATTCAACAAAGCAGTTTATGAATACAGTGCATCCTGATCACTGTCACCTATTTCATTATTCTCCCTCATCACATCCAACACCACTCAGTTTTCTTAATTTTTAAAGGATATGCATTGAATTTTATGACTGCATTTCCCCCCCTTCATTTGTCTATCCCCTTCCCCTTGATCCTACCTCCCCTCCACTTTCAAGTACCCATATTCTGTTTATTTTGTTGGACTGTGAGTTAGCCTTTCTAAGGAATTAGACCATTTGGTACATCTGTATACACTCCAACCATTTGATACATTTGTGTACACTCCAAAGTGTTTACTTATATATCTGTAAGTTAATTCTGGCTTCCACATATGAGAGAAAATGTGTCCTTTGTCTATGGGCCTGACTTACTTCCCTTAACATGATTTTGGACTCTTATTGATCCTGGGAGGCTGCTTCCTTATGGTAGTCTTTTTTTTTTTTTCTTTCTTCTTTTCTTTGCAGAGTTGAGGACAGAACTCAGGGCCTTGTACTTGCCAGGCAAGTCCTCCTCCACTTAGCTAAATCCTCAACCTTGATCTGGTAGTCTTTTATCTAGTTAAATGGTAACTGGTTCACATCCTTGTTAAGACAGAAGCAAGATAGAAACAAATAAGTAAATATATGATGGTATGAATGATTACCACTATTATACCAGATAGCCTCTGGAACTAATCTTTCCAAGTGTCATCCAACTTAATGGTGCCTCAACACAATGCTTCACAAATCTTAATATGGACCCGAATTATCTGGAAACCATGTGAACAAGTAAAATCTGAATCAGTGTATTTGGGATTGTGGTCTGTGATTCTGTTTAATTAAAGATTTTTTTTTTTATGTGGTGGGGGTGCCTAAATATGGGGCCTCATGCAAGCTAGGCAAGTGTTCTACCACTGAATATCCTCAGCCCCACAGGTTTTTAAGCAAGGTTAATGCTGCTGGTCTATGAATGTAGCAAGGCATTAGCAAACTATCTAATGACCTACCGTGTTTTTATTTTTATTTTTTGTCAGTTGTGGGGCTTGAACTTGGGGTTTGAGTACTGTCCTTGAGCTCTTTTGCTCAAGGCTAGTGTTCTACCATTTTGAGCCACAGCACCACTTCTGGATTCTTAGAGGTTAATTGGAGATAAAGAGTCTCAAGGACTTTCTTGCCTGGGCTGGCTTTGAACCATGATCTTCTGATCTCTGCCTCCAGAGTAGTGCTGGGATTATAGGTATGAGCTACCAGTGCCTGGCTAACTTTTACATTCTTGGAACCACCTTTGCCTCAGGCTTCTTATTGGAGCAAGACTACTCACACCTGTAATCCTAGCTACTCAGGAGGCTGAGCCCTGAGGATCACGGTTTGATAAAGTCTTCATGGGCAGCAGGAAAGTCCATATGACTTAACCCACCTAAAAACTGGAAGTGTTGCTATAGCTCAAAGTGGTAGAGTGTTAATCTTGAACAAAAAATCTCAGCGATGGTGCCCAGGTCCTGAATTCAAGCCCCACAACTGGCAAAAAATAAAAAATAATCTTATTATCAACTACAGTCATCATGCTGTACAATAGTTCTCTAGAAACTATTCATCCTAATGGACTTGCATTCATTTTGCTAGTTCTACTTAGTAAAACCTACACAGCACAAAAACATTCGGTCCCCTAAAGACCAACAAAGACAAAAAACCCACAGATTTCTAGAACGATGGCAAAAGGACAGTATACGTCATAAATTTCCGTAGCTTTTGTTTTGTTTCCTAGCATTTCCCTACTCACTAGTTAAGATCTGTTACTTACCTCATCAGGGAGATCAAGGATAGTAATATTTTTTGAACGAAACGTGATTTCAAAAGTGATCAGTAAGGTTGTATTTAATGGATACCTATGGAAGACAAGAGTCTAATTACTGCTGAAAAATGGGGCCCAATGAGATCTCAATCAACCCTCTAGACTTCATTTCTGGGCTTTTATTTCTCTAGTAATTAGGAGCAGGAAGTGCTGCATGCTTAACCTTGAGGAGCAGTTGTCTTTTTTTTTTTTAAATCAGGAGACTGAAAGTCCTTTTAGTAAAGGATGAGAATATGAGAAGGTGGCAAACGGGCTGAGAATGATAGCGGAGGTACCCAAAGGTGAACAGGCCCATGTCTCCCTGCTCTAATGGGAAAAGTTTCCCAGAAAGGGTTAGATTTAAGCAGGGTATTATAAGAAAGTCAGCATTTGAATGAAAGAACTGAAACCTCTGGGAACAGAAGAATTACTTTATAGAGGGCAGTGGGGAACAGGGAAGGATTCTGGTAAGGGGAGAGTTGAGGTAAAAGATGACTTACATGATCTATACCATGTGGGTGGGTATGTATAGAGATTTGGGATATGGGAATGAAACTGGAGGTCCAAGATGGGGCCTGGAAGCTGAAGTATTGGTTTGAGATCAGAGTAAAGATTTGATTTTTATTTTTTTACTTATTTTTATTTTATTTTTTGGTTGGTTGTGGGGCTTGAACTCTGGGCCTGGGCACTGTCCCTGCGCTCTTCAGCTCAAGGCTAGCGCTCTACCGCTTGAGCCACAGCGCCACTTCCGGTTTTCTAGTGGTTTCGTGGAGATAAGAGTCTCACAGACTTTCCTGCCCAGACTGGCTTTGACCCAAGATCCTCAGATCTCAGCCTCCAGAGTAGCTAGGATTACAGGTGTGAGCCACCAGCACTTGGCTAAGATTTGATCTTTGATAATGTAAAAAGGAAGGAATTCCAGGTGTTCAACTTAAGAGTATTCTCATAGCTGAGAGGCATGAGTAGGATAAACCACTAAAGGACACAAAGGGAAACAAAGGAAGACAAAGGGAGAAGAGGAACACTCTGCACAAGGTGGAGACTGCTGTGACATCAAAACCTGTAGGTGTCAGCAAATGACACTCCACCAACAAAGGCCAAGCAATGAGCAGCACTATGGAATCCTCTGATACAGTCATTACTAGTTTAGTAGCGCTATGGAATCCTCTGTTGCAGTCACTTCTGATTTAGCATGTGACCTCAGCAGTGCTGGCCAGTACTTCAGCTCCCTTGGCCTGAAATATTTATAATCTTGGAAAGGGTCTAGGCCATCTACTGCTATTCACTCAAGGATTGTCATGGGGCAGGGTATGGGGGAAGGCTCAAGTCTTAGAGAAAAGCAGTATATTTTCCTTTTCTCTTCCCCCCGAGTGCAACCACAGGCTCAGTATGGTGCTCCAAGAACCTGCTTGGTAGCCCCAGGCTGGTCTCACTGCTCCCTGAATGGCTTGTCTATAGCTAAAAGGCAAAAGTGCTATACCTAAAAAAAAAAGTCCACAGGGTCTGCCAAGACCAGGCCAGAGAACTTACCCAAGGGTGATGCTGATATTGGTTGAGCTGCCATTTTCCAGCTTCACAATGGGAGGGACGGTGAGGCTGAAAGTAGATTCTGAAAAGACCCAAGTTGATGACGTGAATTATTCAGTCAGAGAGTACAGGACCATGAGAAACAGGTATGAGGTCCCTGATATATGAACTCATGAACCCTGACTCACTGACAGTCCTATTTTCTAGATGAAACCACCCCTGGTGGTTCCTGCCTATAATCCTAGATAGGAGGCTAAGATCTGAGAATCAAGGTTTGAAGCCAGTGGGGACAGGAAAATCCACGAGATTTTTTTTTTTTTTGTTGGTCGTGGGGCTTGAACTCTGGGCCTGGGCACTGTCCCTGCACTCTTCAGCTCAAGACAAGTGCTCTACTGCTTGAGCCACAGCGCCTCTTCCAGTTTTCTAGTGGTTTATTGGAGATAAGAGTGTCAGGGACTTTCCTGCCCAAGCTGGCTTTGAACCATGATCCTCAGATCTCAGCCCACAAGACCCTTATCTTGAATTAATCACCAGAAAGCCAGAAGTGGAACTGTGGTTCAAGTGAAAGCTAAGCAAGAGTGTGAGGCTCTGAGTTTAAGCCCCAGTACTCACAGTCACACTATCTTACAGATACACACATGCACACACACCAGAAAGAGAGAGGGGAGGGAGAGGGAGGCAGAGGGGTTGGAGGTTTCCATGAGGGGACTAGACCTTCAGACCACTGATTGTGCCTTCCGTATCTACTGCCAGACAGTGAAGATGATGCTGGCATCATCTCTTTCTCCTGACAGACTCTGAGAACTTGCTACCCAATTACTCAGAGAGTCTAAGAACCATAGAACCCAGAAATTATCACAAAGGAATTCAAGCCACCATCTGGTTCTGTATATGGTGAACCACCTATTTAGACAGATAGCACAGAGGTCTTCCCTATTTGTGGGGCCCAAAATAGCACAAAGAATTGATTCAATCCATTCTTGCATTTTCAGAGATGCACAGGTCCAGCTAACATGTTTCTAAATAGCCTTTTGGGTTCCTCTCCTGACCTACCCAACCAATGTATGATCTTTCTGTATGTCTATCTGGAGACTGGAGGAGAATGACAAACATACAGTTTCACTATCAGGGGCTTATTGACATTAAGGTGTTAGCTTGAGACAAAGAGGCCTTCAGGATGATGGGGGAACAAGTTTGGCCTTAGGAAACTAACTTGGGAGTCTGGAGGTATGAGCCAGTAGAAGAGTGTATGATTAGAATACATGGTGAGAAGGAAGAAGAGGAAGACAAAGAACAAAAAGAAGAGGAGAAAGGAGGGAAGGAAGAACAGAAGGAAGATGAGCGAGGGAAAAAAAGCAGATAGAAAAAAGTGTATCACTGGATATGGAGGTGCCAGACTTGAATGAAAGAAAAAGAAAATAGCTAAGGGAGAGCGAGGGGCCCTGTGTTCAAAACTCAGCACAAAAATAAGAACAACAGGGGCTGGGAAGTTGGCTCAGTGGTAGAGCGCTTGCCTTGTATGCATGAGGCCCTGGGTTCGATTCCTCAGCACCCCATAAGCAAAAAGAAAAAAGCCGGAAGTGGCACTGTGGCTCGAGTGGTAGAATGTTAGCCTTGAGCTGAAGAGCTGAGGGACAGAGCCCAGGCCCAGAGTGCAGGCCCCATGACCGGACCAAAAAAAAAAAAAAATGAAATAAGAACAACAACAACAACAAAATCCCCCAAGCCCCAAATAAAAAAAAAAAATCAAAGGAAAAAAGTGGACAACATATTGTTAGGTGAAATGACTACGAACATCCTTGTAACTGAACAGAACTATTAGTTTGAGCTATTCCTGTGTTCTTTCAGTAACCCATTTCCCACTTCTTGTCCCCTTCCCATGTGTGATAAAAGCCCCATGCCAAACCTGCCAATCTCATGTTCCCTGCTTCCTTGTTTTTGGGATTACACATAGCCTAGAGAACCCAACGCCTTACAAGGGGTAGAGTCTGCAGATAGGGCTCAGCTTTTATCTGCCCAAACCCCTTACAGGCAGAAGATGAAGAAATGAGATGTGAAATTTTAAGATGCTCAGGTTGGAAGGAAACTTGAAAGTTACCTAATTCAACCTCCTTCCTTCTTTCTTTCTCTTTCTCTCTTTTTCTTTCTTTTTTGCTTTCTTTCTTTCTCTCTCTCTCTATACATATATATGTATATATATTTTCTTTTTTTCACAAAGTTGACAAACCATTTAAAAACTTACCACAATTCGTTATGAGATTCAGGGGAAAAAGGATAAAAATAAGCAGCAAATTCCTTATCATGTTCTCTGATTTCTTAGAACTAGAAGAAAAACAAACAGCAAGCAAAATTCATGTTAAGGTTGAAATCAACTCAGCTCCAAGTGGATAATATACCACCTGGAACCACAACAATAAGACAGCTCATAAAAGACTTGCAACTGGGCGCCAGTAGCTCATGCCTATAATCCTAGCTACTCAGGAGTCCGAATCTGAGGATCAAGGTTCAAAGTCAGCCTGGGCAGGAAAGTCCATGAGACTTACATCAATTAACCACAAAGAAGCTAGGAGTAAAGCTATGGTTCATGTGGTAGAGCTGTAGCTTTGCACATGTACACACATGTGCGCGTGTGTGCGTGCGCGCGAGCTCAGGGACAGCACCCAGGCCCTGAGTTCAAGCTCCAGGGCTGGCAGAAAAAGAAAAAAAAAAAGACTTTCACATCTCTGACCTCAAAGATTTGACATCATAGTGTCAGAAAAGGGGACATCCAGAAAGGGCTTATCTTTCTTTGATACATAGGAAAACCAGTTCAGAGAAGCTAAGTGGGTTGTGCAAAGTCCTATTCTGAGGAAGTCAACACAAGCCTTATCTTTTCCCCTCAATTGCCTTTTGTAACCTAGTTAACACAATGCAGTTTTGTGTTAAAAATTTTTTTTAAATTAATCAATCAATACTTTAACTAAAATAAAGGTGAAATGTGATTATAAAAAAATTTAAGTTAATATTAGGGAAATGAACCCTAAGATATGTATTCAAATGTTTTTTTCTTTCATGGGATTGTTTCTAACATATTTATAAGATTATTTCTTTGTTGCTTTGTATGTCCCCCTGCTTTCACTGTATTTGATGTTGGTATAATTTGTGGAGGGGAAGGGGAAAAACAAATCGTTGAAATAGGGATACAGGTGGACCCATTGCAACAATGATGTACAAGTCGTTATGTAGAAAATGAACTTTACAACTTTGGTGCTGGGGGGGAGGATTAGGGAGGGGAGGATGGGATGGGAAGGGGAAACAAAGGAGGAGGCTACAATGCTTGATAAGAAATGTACTCATTATCTTGCCCATGTAATTGTAACCCCTCTGTACAGTATTTTCACAATAATTTTTTTTTAAATTAGTATCACTTCCCTAAAACATCTGTCATTTTACTGAGAGCAAAACATGGAAAATGAAACTGGGTCAGCAAAAGTCCCTCAATGCCAAAGGATGAGACACTCTGGACAGACAGAAAAGCATTAACCAGTAAGTTGATCTTAATGCTGAAAAAATTCAGATTTGATATCACATACGACTAACGGCTGGTGGAAGCTACAAGGCAGAAACAGAGCACTTCATCCATTATGATATGGTGACAAAAACCCCACTGTAGAAATAGATGAGTAAATTATTCAATGTTAGTTTCTATCTGCTTAAAGTTTTGTTTCATTATCAAATTCCAAAAAATATGATTGTACGCTGAGTTCACTCAAAAGTCATGCTATCATTGATTTACTTTACCTTTTCTATATCTATTTTACAAATTTAAAACATTTTAATGATTTCACAGATCCGTTTTGAAAAAGTATTTGAAAACTGAATGCATTTAGTCAAATTACAACTTATTTCACTTAAAAGGAAATTATGTCAAAGAAAAGGAAATTGCCTCAAAATCTAAGAGATAAATTTTAATTCCCTGAGATAAGTTACTATCTAGTTTGAAGTTTTACAAATAAACATTATTGACCTAGCAGTGTTGATTTACATTTTCTTCAACAACTAAATTTCAACATTTTTCGTTAGTGGCTATCTTAATTATTGTGATATTTTCTGTAACTAATATGCTGACATAATTTTCCCATTAGGAATTTGTGTATTTATTTATTATTTTGATGAGGTTATCTTGTATTCACCACAGGCAATATTTTTTTTTTTCAGGTAAGGGGTAGGTTTTTCATCGTTCTGGCTGGCACCAGGCCATCTTGGTCCTCCACGTGGTGGGAAAAGGGCTGGGATAAAGAGCTGGGAGAGCTGGGAAAGAGGGAGAAAAGAGCTAGAAAAGAGAGAAAAGAGCTAGAAAAGAGAGCGTCTGGGAAAGGTGGGAAAGAGATAGCTAGGAAAGAGAAGGGAGCCGGGAAAAAGAAGAGAAGGAAAGAGCTAGAAAAGAGCAGAGAGAGCAGAGAGAGAGAGAGCAGAGAGACTACCACAGGCAATATTTTAACAGTTTGTAGCTGTTCCTTTTGCTTTATGTTGTTGTTTTAAGCTTTTGTTATCCAACTTTAAAAGCTAAAAAAAAAACCCAAAACAACCACTGAGCACTTCATTGTGACAATAGGCTCCTCAGGTGCCCCCCCCCCTCCCCGTGAAGCTTAAACTCAGGGTTTGGACACTGTCCTTGAGCTTCTTTATACTCAAGGTGGGCCCGCTACCATTTGAGCCACAGTGCCAATCCGGTTTTTGAGTAGTTAATTGGAGACAGTCTCTTGGGGATTTTCTGCCAGGTCTGGCTTCGAACCATGATCCTCAGATCTCACCCTGCTGAGTAGCTAGGATTACAGGTGTGAGCCATGGACGACCAGCAGATGTACTTTTTTTCTGCTGTAAGTTTTAACTCTCTTCCAGGTCTCACTCAGGTATCAACAGTTTCAAGAACCTCTGCCACTCCTCCCTCCCCTCCTGGGAGCAGCCTGGATGCAGATGCCTCCAGTGGCTACCTTCCTGTCACAAAGGAGAGGTATGTCTGTCCCACCATCTGGAACTTTCTGGACAGGTAACAACAAACGTGGCAAGGAATGTGTGGCTGGAGACAGGCTGGGCAGGTTCCAACGTGGGCATACATTTATTTGTTGTGGGATTTTTGGATGCTACTTAAGTTCCCGACTTCCTAATGGGACAACAGGAATGAATTTAAATGAGATGTAAGGCTTGCATTTTCAAAAGAAACTAAAATCAGCTCTTGGCATATGAAAAAAAAAAGGTAAGATTTTACAGTGGTTTAGGGCTCCCAAGAGTCATAAAACATACATACAGCTTATCAGCTGTATTAAAGTTTCAAGGCGGTGGATGATGGGATGATGTAATGTGATCGTTACTATAGCCCAGCATACTTACCAAGGAATCACACGGCATTGATTAACACTTTCCTCAGTACAGGGCCCAGGTGTCCTCCAGTCTAAGAACCCAAGAGGGCGGGGGGGGGGGGAGGCGTCTCCTCCTGCCTAGTTCCCTGGAGCCCAGCACTGGACAAGTCAGCAGGAGCTCCAGGGAATGGTCCTCTGGGGATCTCGCCTTTCCAAAACAACGTGCATACTCTCCAACCCAGCTTCAGGAGGCAACGCAGCAGGAAGCGAGGAGAGCCACCCACATCACCCGGGCATCCCGGCCAGTGTTCCCGCCTTCATGCACCGTCACCCAGACCCTTCAGCCCAGGGCTGTCCAGGCGTCTGGGCGTGGAGTGGTCGTCGGTGCCACTGGAGTCCAGGGGCGGCGGAGCGGAGCTTGACCGGCAGCAGGCTGTCCCACCGAAGCGTGAGGCCAGTCTCTGGGTCTCAAGGGTCTGCTCGGGAAACTGTGGGGGAGACCCTGGGGCCGCGCCTTTGCTCACCTGACAGCCTCCCGGGCTCGGGGACCGATCTCACCGGACGCAGAAACCTCGCGCCAGAGGTAGCTTCGGAGTGCACGGAGATGCCCCCGGCCGGGTGGTCTTGTGTCGGGGCGGGCCCGCGGTCACCTGACCGGCGCCACCTGACTCCTGGAGGCCGAGCTCCGCGCGAGGCACCCTGGGAGTTGTAGTTTTCACGGGTCTGTTTTAGCGGGACAGAGTAAGGCAGGAAGGAAGGGCACTGGCGCCAGCGCAGGGACAAGGGCTCAGTTATGAGAATAGTCGAGCCACGACTAGGGACAAAGGATCTCGGAGCCTCTTTCCCCAAGTGGTGAAATCAGAGTTCGTTTGGGGTGAGAGGCCCAGACAGCACTAGGTGGTCCCGGAACCTTAGCCTTACTGGGCGGGTCCTTCTGGGTCCCGCCTCCTCCCTGCTTTCCACCTATCCCCGAAACCCGTGGCGGGCGTCCTCTTCTCTCGACCAATGGTAAGGCGAGAGCCCGCCATATTGAATGTGGGTGAGAGGCGTCGGGTAGCTTTCCCCGTGCCTCGCTGCGGGGTGAAGGGTGCTGCGCTACCGCTCGCTACCCGGGCTGCCTGGGTTCCCGCTGCCATGGCCGTGCGGCCCGTCACTCTCGGCCTCGACCTGGGCACCACGTCTGTGAAGGCAGCCCTTTTGGAGGCTGCACCCGGCCATCCATCCGGGTTCCTGGTACTGGCGAGCTGCGCCCGGGCAGCGCGGGCGGAGGTCGAGTGCGTGGCTGCCGGGTCCCAGGTGAGGAGCACCCGGACCCGCCGCCCCGGGGCCTTTCGACGCCCTCCTCCGTGAGGCCTTCCTGCCACACTCTCCCGCTGGGGCTCCCCCCCCCCCCGCCCTCGCCTGTTTGCCGTCCTCCTGCGTTGTCTCCTCCTGAGGCTTGGCTGCCTGCCGCAGCCCCGCTCCGAGCCTGCCACCTGTTGTCAATGGGCTCCCTGCTCGGTGGCAGCACCCCACTTGTGGCGCTGGCTTCCAGTACTCTCTGCCCTCTACTTTCTGTACCTTGGCTTCGAGGAATCGCCCTCCTGTGCGTGTAGAATGACCACAGGCCTCTCCTACCCTGGCTGTACGCTGCAGCTCATGTCTGCCCTATGTCCATAGTTCAAGGGTCAGTTTGTTCCCTGGGAGTTATCTTCAGCAAATCTGATGCAGAATCAGGCCTAACAGGCTCCTTTCATTCCTTAGAACCGAATATAACCGCAACTAACACTCACTTGATTAGCCAAAGTCTGTCAGCTCCAAAAACAGACACTCTGGAGGAAAGACCAGAACTGGTAGGAAGACACAGATAAGTGGATTAAAATACTGATTTTTAAAAAGATCCATAATTATACATCACAACCAGTGGCTTGTGAAGCCAGGAGAGATGCGGGTGGGTTCAGAAAGGATTTCAGTCCTCACAAATGGGGACCCTGCAAAAGTAACTCTATACAACCAATTAACGATAGAAATGAATACCAGGGAACTTTCCGTGTAACCTTTGGTTGTTTTCTGGGCCTCAGCTTATTCTCTTGAGTTGAAATAGGTGACCTTTAAGTCCTCTTCCAGCCACAAATTGGCATTTTCGGGGCCGAGCCCTACCCCCAAGAGCTTTGTTTTTCCTAAGCTCTTGTGGACTCAGTTCTTTAGGGTTCAGAATCCATCTTTCTGGGAAACATTTCAGAGGATAAAGATTTGAAGAACACTTTGCATTTTGAGAGAGGCTTTTAAAAGTACTCTGGTTGGGGCCTTGGTATTTTAGAGTGATTTATTTCACTTTAGGGACTGTGAAATGGAGGTAAAGTTGATTCTGACCTTGTGGAGGTGAGTAGCTGAACTGGGATTACAGGACAGTAACTTCAGGCACTGGACTGCCTCCCTCTCTCCCCCCTCTCCCCCCATCTCTCTTCCTTCCTCTCCCTTCCTCCCAATTCTAGGGTTCAATCCATGCATGTTAGACAAGTGCTTTCTGCTCTGCTCTGTTGTAGAGTTACATACCCAGTCCAGGATCACTTTTTTTTTTTTGGTGCTAGTCTTTGAGCTTGAACTCAGGCCCAGGGTGCTGTCCCTGAGCCTCTTCTACTCAAGGCTGTTACTCTACCACTTGAGCCACAGTTCCATCTCCATCTTTTTGGAGTTTTAATTTGAACTCTGATTCTCAGATCACAGCCTCCTGAGTAACTAGGAATACAGGCATGAGCCATTGGTGCCTGGTTTACAGGCAAGCTGTTTCTGTTTGCAGGTACACCCAGCATGTCACACCTGCCCAATGAAGGGTATGGGGGTAGCAGTAATTATCTGTCTCCCTTTATACTTATTTATGACAAACAACATTGTGATTTCATCTATGGCAGGTTTCTCAACCTTGGCACTGTTGACATTTGGGCTGTTGACATTTGGTTGTAGGTACTATCTTGTGTAGGTTGTTTAGCAGTAACTCCAACCTTAGCCCATTAGGTGCTAGTGGCATTTTCCCCTTCCAGATGTGATAACCAAAAATAAGTCCTTATTGTGAAATGTCCCCTAAGAACTAAATCACCCCAAGTAGAAATACCATCTATAGGAATACCAGATGGCTAAGCTCTTTGCTCGTGTATGCTCATCCTTTTCACTCACGATTAGTACTGTGTATACGAAGATTAAACTTGGCAGAGATTCAGATGATCAAGTTTGTAGGTTTTTGCAATTTAAGATAAATCTTTTTTCCCTTTTCTTTCTTTGTTGATCCTTCCACCCACCCTCCCTCCTCCTTTAGGAGTAAGGTTCTGCTATATAACCTAGGCTGGTTCCTACCTCAGTCTCTGGAACACTGGAATCAAAACTATGTGTCCTGGATAGTTAGAGCTAAGGTTGTGGATTGGTAAGAATAATTTACCAAGACAGGAGAATAGAAGGAGCAAAGGTTTATTAGGACACCTGTACAAGAGAGACAGGATGGGGAGCTAGCTAAAGGAGCATAGCACTACTGCTGTTGGTGCTGCTCCTTCTGTATAAGTATAGACTTAGGGACAGGGCTAGTGGGGATTTTATTCCTTCTTTAGACCATACTTTAAAAATTTGAGGCCATGGGCACCGCTTGCACTCTCCTGTTTCATATCTGCATTCTGTCTGTCCCATTTCTCAGGCTTGATTCCCTCCTTCATTTCACATGCTTGTTTTGAAGCACTAGGCTCACTTGTTTCACCTGGACCTTGGTATTTGTCTGAATGTCCCCTTAAATGGGGACTTCGTTCACATTGTGTGCCATTACACCTGGCTAAAATACAAAAGAGTCTTAAGGAAAGCTCAATGATCCTGTCTCAACTTATTTGTCTTCTGGGTTTCAATCTCTTCAGCTATAAACAAAGGGTTTAGGAATGAGAGTATGTGAGTGCCTTAATTATTTTTTCAAGTCTAAAATTCTAGGGTTTGATCTGGATATAGGGTGATATTTTGAACTAAGAAATAATGGCAAGAGTTGTCCTATCATGCAGTGGGCGTGTGTGTACTTTCTGTTCCTCTGACCACACTGCTGAAACTGGAACTGCCTGCCTGCCACACAGTACTTCATCTTCACTCCTATCTTTCCTGTTTCCCTAGTCTGTATGCTTCATTCTCACAACTTACCTACCCTCAGGCTCCTTTTAACTATGGCTGATTTGTTCTGAGATGATATATGATGATCTGTCCATGTGAATACTCTTTACTACCTTCTAATACAAGTGCAAGACACAAATGTGAGCCATTTGTGCAATTTTTTGAGTAGTCACATTTAAGTAAAAGGAAGTCAGGTGTGGTGGCAGATACCTGTAGTCCCAGCTGCTTGGGAGGCAGGGGTAGGACCCTTGAGGTCTGAATCCCTAGGCAAAAGCAGGAGACCCTATCTGGAAAACAAACAAACAAATCCAAGACTGCCCCCTCACCTCCTAACCTAAAAGTACCACCTAAAACTAAAAGCAAAAAACCCCTGGGGGTATGGCTGAAGTAGTAGAGTACTTGCCTAGCAAATGTGAAGGCATGGGTTCAAATTCTAGTACTGAGAAAAAAAGTAAAAGGAAACAGTTGAAATTAATTTTATCATATATTTTATATAATGCAATATATTATCATTTTGGCATGTAGTGACCAATAGACTGACAGAAGTTTATCAATGAGCTGGGAGCCAGTGGTTCATGCCTGTAATCCTAGCTACTCAGGAGGCTGAGATCTGAGGATCACAGTTCAAAGTAAGTCCCTGAGACCCTTATCTCTAATAAACCATAAGAAAACCAGAAGTGGCACTGTGGCTCAAGTGATAGAGCACTCACCTTGGACTGAAGAGCTGAGAGACAGTGCCCAGGCCCAGAGTTCAAGCCCTACAACTGAAAAAAAAATTATTAACAAGACACTTAGTATCCTTTATTTTTCCCATACAAACTCTAAACCTGTATATGTTTCATGCCTATACCTCTCAATTCAGACTAGCTGTACATGGCTGATGACTGCTATATTGGACAGTGGAGGTCCACTTGCCCAGTCTTCTTTTTTCCTCTTTGGGAATCATGTGTGGCCTGGTGGCTCCTCTGTGCTTGTTTGTCTTGAGTGCTGTTGTTCAGGACAACTCCTGAACACCTGCTGTTATCCTTCCCATATATAAAGAATCCTTGTCTTGGACTGGGAAGATGGCTAAGTGGTAGAGCGCTTGCCTTACATGCATGAGGCCCTGGGTTTGATTCCTCAGCACCATATAAGCAAAAAGAAAAAAGCCAAAGTGGAGCTGTGGCTCAAGTGGTAGAACGCCAGCCTTGAGCTGAAGAGTTGAGGGACAACA